GTAATTAACCTTTGAGAAACTATTACTTGTCAAATTTTGATATAGTATCAGAGAGTAGCTACAATTATGTGTAGAGGCTACTAAAACACACTACCTCTTTCTAACTTCATATTTGTGTGAAGATGGGTATTTGTCACATGCTTCCACGAAATCAACATATCACAGATTGAATGCAGTAACACCTATGAAAATCCAGCTGTCTGTTACTAAACTAGGTATTTAAGAGATTTGCGAAAATGCAAAACAGTGCTTGTCTTCAAATTCCTTTGTTTTGGTAAATATGCTTATATTTTAAAAGTATGTTATTTATGTTACTATGTAAATGATTTTTATTTAATCATATATTTTATTTTAAGTGAATTAATAATTTTTTCTGATACTTAGTTTTTAATATGACCAATATTGATAAATGTAAGCATAGCTCTTTGGGACTCTTAATTTTAGAAATACAAAGGAATCCTGAGACCAAAGAGTTTGATGATTTTTAAAGTTTGTTCCAACTAACCACCTTTAGAACATGCAACCATTTTAATGGTTCCTGTAAAATTTCTTGGCCAATTTCTTCAGCCTACTTGTCAATGTCCCTTCTAAATGGTGGCCCTCAATAGTGAAATTATATTGAAGATGTAGGCTGAACAGCATAGAATAAATAAGCAGGCTACTATGATTAGGCTTTAATAATAACCTTTTTTGGAGATCTTTAAAAATAGGAGAAATTTTTCTTTTTTAAAGAAATAGGTTTTTGTTCCACGAAAACAAAGTTTTGGACTAAGTAGCATCTTAAAGAATCTTTCTTGACACTTCAGAAATACTGTTACTTTTGCTTTAGAAGATATAAATATCAATAACTAAACCCTAATTTTTCCATTCACTGTAGTGATGTTCTTCATTATTCACAATTGCATTTTTAAAATATTGGGCATTAACTTCGTATCAATTCCTTTCATATTTCATTTTTATAATCAATTCAAATGCTATGTAAACTAATCCAACCACCCATTTGTTGCTTGAACCTTCTTGCTAAAGCAAATTAAAAAAAAAAGTGAGGGTAAAAAAAGAAATGGGTGTGGCTTAGAGTCAGCTTTAAGCAGGATTTAAAAATTTAGCTTGAAAGCTTTTAAAGTCTAATTATACAGGGAGGTGGCAGTATTTTTATTTGCTGTTTACCTTTGATCTATTACCTATTTTGGGGAGAGTGGGACATGCTTTTGTGAGAATGTTTATGGTTTCTTCATTTGATGTCAAGATATTTGTTTGAAGTTGCCTTGTAATTCAGAGGTTTTTGTCTGTGTAACTAATATTAATATTTGGCTTCTGCTGTCAGATTAATAGCAAGTTAGCCAGGATTTGGGTGACTACTTTTGCATGTATAAGTGATATATAAAATTTACAAAATAACTTTATTGTTTCAGGACAAATTAGACACATTAAATATAAAAAATCTTAACGTACCAACTCATAAGTATAGAAGTAAAAATAAGCCTATATCTCACTCAATGTTAACATTTCTGTTAAATTGCATTTTACTTTGTGAAAGGTGTGTGTGCGTATGCACATTTGATTTTCTGTAAATTTATTGGTTCTTGCTATACATGTTGCTTTTTTGTTCAACAATATATTATAGCCATAATTTTATATCAGTAAATACAGGTTTATACATAATTTTTATTGACTGTAGGAATAATGTTATATGTATATATCATAAATTACTTGTCCAGTTAGTAAGTTATTTTCAATTTTTGGCTATTACAAAAATGATGTAATGAACATACACACATTATAGGTATATATCTTTATTATTATTATTATTATTTGCAATTAGTCCCTAGAATAATTTTTGGAAGTAGCATAGCAAACTTAAAGGAGATCAACATTAGAAATTTTAACACTTATTGTCAAATTATCATTCAGAAAACTTGTACCCAATTTATAATCTCATCAATGGTACATGAAAGTTTATTTTTCCACATCTTCACCAATACTATTTTTTGACCAGTTTACAAAATATTTTGCCAATTATTGTAGGTGAAAATATTTTATTTACATTTATCTATGACCAAATAATCAGAACATGTCACTAGCATGGTCAGATATAGTAGTCTGTGGCCATGTGGGATTATTGATTAAACAATTCTTGAGAGGAAAGGCCATATTTATTTATTTGTTCTTTTAATTTTTAGATTGAGGAATAATTGACATAGTATAGTTTTAGGTGTACAATATAATGCTTTTATTTATTCAAAATTTTTGGTGTGTTCAGACTATTCAGTGCAATCTCTACCTACTTGCTGAATGAATGAATGAATAAGCAAACAGAAAAACGGAACAATCTATGGTTCTGAGGATTCATTTAACTTAACAAATTGTGAGTTTTCTAGAACAGATGATGATTTGGTTTGTCATTTTCTTCTCTGTTTTCTTACTTCTGTGTTGCCCTCAGGACAAAAGTGGCTGCTTTTGTTTTGGAAATGTGTTCTTCAGTGTAAACTTTTTTAGTTCTTAAAGATGTAGCTTACTTCAAGTTGTATGTTAATTTGTATGTATATATTTATTTGTTTATAAAGATTTTATTTATTTAGTGTTAGAGAGAGGGGAAGGGGGGAGAAAGAAAGGGAGAGAAGCATTAATGTGAGAAAGACACATCCACTGGTTGCCTCTCACATGCCACCAACTGCTGACCTGGGTCGTGCTCCGACACCCAGGCATGTGCCCTGACAGGGAATTGAACTAGCAACCTTTTGGTTTTCAGGACAAAGCCCAACCCAGTAAGCCACACCAGTCAGGGCAATGTGTTAATTCTTGTGAGTTAATTCTTAACTCTTTGCCCATTGTAATATGTTGTTTGTTTATTCCTAAATTCTCTGCAGAAAGAAGTATGTATTAAATTCTTTTTGTTATAATAATGAACTCGGTGATTTTAGGAGCTTATACTTTTTAATTGTTTGCTACAAAATTCACTAATAGTGTAAAGCAGTTGAAAATGGGATTCAGAGCTGCTTTTAACATATGTAGCAAGGCTGGATTTATATGACAAATGAGACTTACTGACTTCATATTAATGTACATTAAAATATTCTTTACCCCAAATGTCTGGAATTTGAATTGTTCCAAATTTAAAATATTTCTAGAGTTAGAGATCTTAACTCTTAGAGTCAAATGATTGGAAAAAAAGAGATACACATAGCCACAATATTTTCTGCATGCATTTTATCTCCCACCATTTCAATGCAAATGAAGGAATGAGATGTATTGCATTGTGTTCCATAATTTCAATTCATGCTTTAAAAATATTTGCTAGAAGGATAAGGTGTGATTATTTGGAAATGTACAAGTACTTAAAAACCCTTTTGGATTCTTCCAGAGTTTAGGCTTTGGATATATACAGCATTTTGCTATCAATTTATTTTGTGGATAGCTTCAAAGTTATAATTTATCATTCAAGGTAGGATAAAATATGAGAAAAACTTGTAGCAGAACCAGTGTGCTTTGCTGGCTTTGCATAAAACACAGAGTGTGTCCACATAGGGTTGTGTGGTGCCCCAGATAAAACAGCTCTCCTGGGTCCTAAGACACCAGAAAGCCATGAGGAAGAGAAGGATGTAATACTAAAAATAAATGACAGAGCTACCTTCCCCTGGCCAGACTCTCCAGTACTTCTCATGTCTGTGGAAGTAGGCATTACAGAGTTACTGGAAACTGGATTGGGAAAGGCCTGAGACACCATTCCCCACAAAGAGAAGGAGGTCTGGTGAGGAAACCTAATGGGTAGTTCACCATTGATACTTAAAGCTGTCCAAAAGCCCAGGACAGATTCATTATCTATCAGCCCTACTTGAAAATACAATAAATTCTCTGGTCTTTTAGGAAGAAGCATATTTTAGGAGCTAGGGAAAGACTGAGTTAGGTATTTATATTTCAACTTAATCCAGGTGCCATACCTAATTTATTATGGCCATTTGTGCTGTAAGTGCAACATTGGTCCCTACAAATGATGTTAATTAAGAGTCTATTTTTTTTTCAGAATGAATTTTATTTAAATCTAGTTTGGTGACTAGGTTAACTAAGCTAGATATTTACCGGCCATATTTTTAAAAAGCGAGGATTGAATCAAACCAATCCCTAGAGTCTAAGTAAGTTCCTGACCTAAATTAGGAACCTAAGCTCCATTATTATTTTCAGTTGAACACTGCCTATAGCCATCCTCACATTTGGGAGAGAATATGGCCTTTGCAACAAAGTTTCTTTGTTTTCATGGAACGAAAAATGTGCTGTATTTAGACCAAACAATAAAAATAAACTACCAAACTACCTTCTAATGCATGGGGGTTCTGGAGAGAGGAAACCATAGATATTTAGAGGCATAAAGTGACTCATTGTGCTAGTTAAACTTTTTACAAGGCTAGCCCTGTGTGTTTGAGTTGCATCTGTTACTTCCTCAGCCAGAATTAAAGTGTGTGCAAGCAAAAGAATTTTGAATTGAGTTGTAGCTCATACAGAATGCATTGTATACATTGTATATAACCTAAGAGTCTAAATGGGGTCCACACCTTAGGTAGAACAAAAACTGCATCCTTTCATGTTTATTCCACCTACAAGGTGTTCTTATTGAAGGCAACCAAGATATTCTCTGCGAAGCTAATTCATTTTAACTTGCAGACATAAACTAAACATGTTTTTCAAATGTAACTTGTAAGCCTTTATTTCCCTTTTTAAAAAATGTATTTTTCTATTGTTTTTACTTATGCTTTTAAACATCAACTTTATTACTGAACATTTTTTTAAAAAGCTATAATGGCTGGAGGTATTGTATTCTTAGCAGTAGAACAATGAAATAATTGTTTCTTTTGTTATTGCCATCTTAGAAAAAGTTGTTAGAGTAGATGGGGACAACTGCCTGAGTCAATAATAGTGATTTGTAGTCAGAATGTATACTTCTTTAATAAAACATGTAAAGGCAATTTACTTAACCTTTTCATTTCATTTTCTGTCTAAATTTTCAGGTCACTTACATGAATTCAAAGGCAATTTACCAGTGATTTCTGGGTGCTGGGGCTGATTTTTTTTTGCGTATTTGTAAGTATTGGTTTATTTCTTACTCTTCTCATTGTGTAATGAAAGTTATACTTTGTAAACAAGTTCTTAACTCCTTTTGTGTGTGAATTTTTATTAGTTTTTTTTGTGTTTTTAAAGTGTTATTTATTTACTTTTTTGTGTTTTCTTAAGGGGAATACAGAAAAAATTTCAGCTGATGAGAAAAAAGCCTCAGTTTGTTGTGATTTCCATTGAAACAACACAATGGCAGGGCCCATTAAAATCAGCTGAAAGAATAAATATCTTTCTTTTTGAAGATGGAGCTCAACTGTAGGAAAGAGTTACTTTAAAGGGGGCTAGTCTATATGCACATGAATAATTTACCCTGGTGAATTCTAACAGTCTACTGCTTGTCTGGATTGAAAAGTGCCCTGTGCCTGTGCTCACAGAAAAGATGTCCAGATGATACAGAATTCAAAGAGCCACCAGTATAGGAGGATTATGTGCTAAGGAACTAAAGACTCATTTAGTAAATGTATAATATATATCATATTAGGGGTATTCCTGCTTTCTTCACCATCCCCCAAACAATATTAACTAAGATACTTTTTCTCAGGAAAGAAGGTAAATTTCAAGAAAAAAATGGAATGAAACTTAATTATCATTTAAAGTACTTTGGATTGTTTTATGCATATATTTGTTAATATAGAAGTAGTTTAGAGTATGTGGCAGGTATTAAACATGTCTGTAAAAAGATACTGTATTTTGGTAGAGTCTAAAATACATTTATGTGTGTATCATGTTGCAAACCATTGTCATCTAAAGGGCTATTTTGGTAATAACAAAGACATAGAATCTTTTCTTGTTAGTATACCCCTATAAAGGAGTTTTAGAGAATATACGTCTAGGAAAGTATTTTTTTAAAAAGTAACATTATAAGCTAGATTTTAAATTACTCAGTATTTAAGCAAAAAGCAGCCAAAATTTATTTAAAACCAGCTTTATCTTTCTTTTAGTAGTAGCAATGATTGGGGCTGGCATTTAGAATGAACTTTAAAAAAATGGACATGAATGTTTAATATAGTTTAATATATTTTGTATATTTTTAGTGTTTTAAGAATAAGCTGTGTTTTTTTTATGAAAACTATCAATTCACACAGTATTTTGCTGACTTAATTCTAATGTAAAACAAAATACTAAAGTACATGGTTCATTTGGATTAAATATAAGCTTTTAATTTGTGCAGGGTATCATAGTGAGGATTAGGAGGCAAAGAAGATGGAGAAAGATGTGTAAAGTATCTTTGAAGGGCTCTCAAGAAAAAGGATGATTCTAAGGAGTTGAGCTTATCCTGCTAGAAATCTGAGTGAGGGAAATAATTTTGAACTGTCCTAATCTTATCTTAGTTACTTTATCTTTTCTTTTACTTCTTTTCTCTCTCCTCTCATATCATTCAGTCATTCCCTTTAGTAAGTTTTTAAGATGATTAAATTAAAAAATGACAAATACAAAATACTGGCATTTTAACTAAGATGGCCTTCATGGAAATATAATTTACATTTATCATCACCTAGACTCTTTTTTCTGAATTCTTTACTCCCTACCCCAATTGCACAAACTAATTTGAATGGAGGTGATCCAAATAGCTGAGATTTCTCTTGTGATCTAACAAAAAGATGCTAAAAATAGAAGAAAGAGCACTATGGATATAGTTTTCATACGGTTATTTCTGCAGTTCAACTTCAGAGTTCGTCCTGATCACTTAGGCAAAAGTAATGCTAATCATTTGGGCCTAAAGTAACCGTTTTCTGGTCTAGTCATATGCTAGTTTAGGGCATGGGCTTTGTTGTCCTTTGGTTGGTGGTCTTAGGCTTAGTTAGGGTCATCTTCTGACTGTGGAACCTTTTTATTAAAGAAATGTAGAGGGATACTGTGACTAAGATCAGTCGGATAAAATTAACATGGCATCCAGAATGCTTGAGTTCCTATTTCTTTCAATTATTGCTGAAACTGTCTATCACACTGAATGATGAGGCAGGTAAAAAAAAATAAAAGTATTTATCTAGTCTGGCTTAAGAACAAGCAAACGGGATCAATGACAATGGCTTCTTTTAGGAACTTTAATTTCTATGTCCTGGAACTGCTTATTTGCTACATGATCTAAAGCAGAAAGTTATACCTCATGGCCATGGGAAGGTTTCTTAGTAAGGTGTGCAGAAGCCAGTCTGTGAGATAAGGAAGGTTGGATATTGTTTTGCACATCCATAATGAATGGGCCACACCAAGGGTGTGTGAGAACCGATTGGAATCTTACCTACTCACATCTACTACCTAGGTCAGAAGAGGAAAACACTGTGAAGGAAAATGGCTATCTTTATAGAAGCTCGAAGCGTCTTACTGTGGGTTTTTTTTTCTCTCTTGAAAAAAGAAAACCACCCTTTTCTCAAAGTAGTCATTGTTAACAAGACTGTTTTCCATGTTAATATCCCTCATTATTTTTTATTTTTAGTTAAAAAATAATTATGGAATTCTAACCATTAAATTTTACCAGGGCAATACATGATTGATTAAAAACAAAACAAAATAGAAATAGATTATTAAATAACCTGCTTTTCAGGTTACCCAAACCTTTTTAGTGATTTGAAAATAAATTACCTTTTATAAAATTCTATCTCCATTTATAGTCTCTCATCACAACCTTTTCCCTTAAAGGAGGTACAAAAAGTATTTTATTGTCTGGTACAAAAAGTGATTATTGCTTAACATGCTCAAGGCAATAGTAATAACAATATTTTAATTTGGTATAATTTGTTTTTGCAGACATTAAACTGGCTTAACTTTGTACCTCTCTGAAGTGAGTAGGAATTATTCTAATTTTTGCAGAGTAGCAGGACTTAACCTTTTAGTGCTCTTTCCTAATATCCAGCTTTCCGCTCTCACAGAGTGTTTTAGCTGCCTTCAGTTGTCATTGATCACTGTCTCAGTCTCCACTTGATTGCCAAACAAATATTTTTGAAAAGTTGAGGTAGAGTGAGTTAAGGAGGAGATTGTAGAGAGCCTTCCACCACTTTACTTTCTTATCTCCCTGGACCATTTGCTCTACCCTGACATTTGCCTACCCCCATTTCCCCAAACTATCATAGGCCATGCTTCTGCTGAAATTTTTGAATTGCATAAAATTTTAGGAAACAAAAAAATCACAAGTTCATCTCTTTGTGGTATTTTTAAATGGAAAGAAATCTATTTCAAACTGAGCATAGCTCAGTCCAAAGCTCCCTCAGTGAAAACATCTGTGATTTTTAAGGACAAGTAGGTCTAAGTGCATTATCTTTAAAAAATATTATTCCAGGCTAATCTTGACATAGAGCAGGTAAATAAAAAAGATGAGCTGTGAAAATCCACAAACAGGGCTTGAATGCCATTTTCCATGACAACGGGAGCTGCCCCATGAAAGCATTAACGCTGGGAATGTAAGGAATTTAAAATTGTGCCTTCTCAGTTTTATAGTTGTGTGCTCATGTTAATTAGAGATATACTGACATTTGAAGTATCTACATTAATACACACAGCTCTTATACATTTGTGAACTGTGGTTAGAAATCTACTTTAATTGAAAGCAGTTTGGTAATCTGGATTTGTATATCCATTACATTTTAAGCTTTTAAAGTTTTACATACCAATGCCCTTGGACACTTGTTCTTTCTGCTCACTTCACTTTCTGTTTCTAATTTATACCTGAAAAAGTAGCCTGGCCTATTTTTAATCTTAGTTGTGTTTTGGGGCAATATTATTGGAATTTTGAGAAAAAATATTTTAATGGTGTCCTTTACTTGCTGTAGTTTGAATCTTTCTTCCCTCTCTGACTTTCTAAATTGTTGGTTTTTCTTGCAAACCTTTAAGACCTGGCCTGGAAGTAAGGTAGGATTTAGGTTTATGGAATTTGTTTCACTGGCTTTAAGCACTAAAAAGCTGCTCTTCATGGTCACACTATGGTTTTCTCTAAAAAAGCCCACATTAGAGACCTTGGTGGGATGAACAGTGCAGAGACATTCTGCTTTTTCTAGAATAGCTGAATTGCATCCTTCTTTCTTGATGTCAAGCCATGTTCGCAGTAGCTTGATGACTTCTTGAGGTCATCTTTTAATTCTAGAGGTTTTGCTTTGTGTTACACTTAAAGGAAGACTTGTCATCTCTTTTTGGCAAGCCTGTATTTCTTAAGAATCTGCCTGTCAGGATTTTTAACTTAATTGTTTTGTGTGTGTTGTTTAATAAAACACCCACACTTATTTTTGGACCAGTCCCTGAATATTACACAAGACCAGTTAGAATGAAGCTTCCTTTTTGTTTCACCAGAACAAACTGCTCTAAAAAGTTTGTAATACTCTGTACTTGTTTCATTAAACCATTTTACTGGCACCATTAAACCACTGAAACCTGGGACCATTAAAACTTACTCAGTACTATTATTATTATTAAGGCCTATTTTTACCCTTTATTACTTTTTTCACTGTACTAAGTTCTTCTGTTTTTATTCTGTCATGATGCTTACTACATATTGTGCCATCACAGCAAATTTTGGAAATTTTAAGTTAATTGCTCAATTATCAGTGATACTCATGAAGCACTTGAAACTTGCACAGTGGTAGACTTAAACATTTCAAAATAAGTTGGTGTGTCATAGTCTTAAATGTGAAACATGACAATATCTACAGACATAAAAATATACTGCCTGAGCTAGGCATTTCAGGGAAGACTAAAACCGACTCTTAAAATCAGGGCTTTTGTCTGGCACTGAAGTGTGTCATCTTTGCTCGTTTCAAACATGTCTAAATTTGATCTTGGTTTACTTTTCAAGCCTAAAAATTTGGTTATGGTTATAAAGGAAAAGGGAAGTAAAACTATTGATTCTGTTTGAATGTCTTGCTGGAACCTCATGATCATGATATTCACTGTAAAGTGGAATTTGGTGTGAGGTAGATCCGTGCTGGATGCCAGTCAAGGAGGCTGACTTATTAAAGAAGAGAATGACCTCTTTATGAAGT